GAACTTAATTTCAAAACTTTACAAAATGAACAGCAACAGGACAATGAGCTCGATAAAATTATTTTTGAGCAAAAATTTCAAAATCTTAATTTAGCTAAAATTCCTGTTCTGAATTTTAATATTTGGTGTGAAGCTTCAGGAGAAAATCCTAGGCCTTTTGTTCCAAGCAGTTTACGTAGAACAGTGTTTGATATATTACATGGAATTTCTCACCCTGGTACCAAGGCTACACGCCGATTAATTGTTAATAAGTATTATTGGCCTAATATGAACAAGGAAATAAATATATGGTCAAAAGGATGCATAAGTTGTCAGAAATCTATAGTTTATCGTCACACAAAATCTCCTGTAAGCACAATTCCAATTCCAAAGAGTAGATTTGAACACATACATTTAGATATTGTTGGACCACTTCCTGTTTCAAAAGCTTATCGCTACATTTTAACAATTATTGATCGATTTACACGTTGGCCGAAAGCATATGCTTTAAAGGATATTTCTGCACAGACAGTAGCAAATAAATTTATTACTGAGTATGTAACGCGTTTTGGTGTACCTTTAGAAATTACGACGGATCAAGGCACTCAATTTACATCAAAATTATTTTCGGAACTATCTAAATTGCTTGGAAGTCACCATATCACAACGTCTTCCTATCATCCTCAGGGTAATGGTATGGTAGAACGTTTCCATAGACAATTAAAATCCTCAATTTTGGCTAGAAATGGAACTAGAGATTGGTACAATGAGCTACCGATAATTCTTCTTGGTTTACGATCGGTGTACAAAGAAGATATTGCAGCCTCTCCAGCTGAAATGATGTTTGGCCAAAATTTGCGTCTACCTGGAGAACTTGTTATGCCAACTACAGAAAATGTAACTTCGACCGAAAGTTTAAGTAGTTTACGAGAGCGTTTTAAAAATGTTAATTCAAATTTAAAACATCATAAAGATTTTGATTCAGGAATTCATGTTCCAGAAGATTTACAAACGTGTAAATTTGTTTTCATTCGTATCGTTAACAAGCGTTCTCTTCAACATCCGTATGAAGGACTTTACAGAGTTCTTGAAAAAGATAAGAAACATTTCAAGGTAGATGTAAATAACGAAATTAAAACTATTCGATTGACAGATAAAAGCCAGCGGTAGTTTAAAGAACACAATTACATAACACTAACAATCACACATTTTCAACAACGACTAAAAAGAAACAAGTTACTTTTAATTTATATAATAATGATTCTCTGGAAGGGGGAGTATTGTAGGGTTCATGCTTTTTATTACACTTGCTCCATTTTTTAACTTTCTTAATTTTGAAAATTTTTGATTTAAGTTATTTTTGTAAAATGGAAATCAAAATCAAAATTTTTCTTCACTTCAAATTTTTTCATCTTGCTGTATAGTTGAAAATGTATTT